GCTTAGAGAAGAAAATCGTGACAGTTTTAAAGAATTTCCGTTATGTAGTTTCCCGTTTAAAAAATAAAGTATGATAGGAAGTCTGCGACGTCGCAAACCGAGTTATGTGATTGCCGACTTACACCGTCAATAATTTACCGTGATATCGTGGTGACTATCGCGTAATTTCTAATTTTTTTTTTACAAAATTCCTGGAAAAATCAAGCATTTTTCACGAGGATGCAGGTGGAAAATCACGCTTTTTTCGCTATGTAGACGAAAAACTCGCCATTGCCGAGGATTGAACGAAACCGATGGTTAAATCCCGTAATTTTCGCGGCTGAAATTCACCAGCTAATTTCAATTAAAAATTGAACTGACAAGAATAACCAATCTTTATGGAAATAACCGACTTTTGATTGGGTATTTGCTATCATTATAATTGTCACATGAGCTTACTGCAGAACAGACCAATGCAATATAGCAGCTTGAATCAGCATACTACTAATCTCTGCATTTTTATCAAACCAGTGCATCTCGCCAATTTTGAAAAAGTAAATAAAAATTCGGAAACAAAATTTGTAGCAGATCACTAATCACAGTGATTGCTGATGGTAGGGGTTTTCCTGTGCGCACACGCGTTTCCTACTAGTATGTAAATATACAGCTTGAATGAAAAATCCTCAGAATCAGCCCATTTTACGAAAACAGGGGGCTTGGGATCCACGTAGAAATGTGCGAAACCAAAATTTGACCCATTCTCATTTTACTGAGGTCCAGTATAGCACTAGAAATTTTGAGCGGAGCAAAGGTTTAAAAAAAAAAGTTTTTTGAAACACCCGAATATCAAAGTGTAGTAAGTAAGATTCCATCACAAAAATGTGTCTCGTGAGTTGCTTGTTTACATACTGAGACACGTCATAAAGCCACGTCCAGTTCCGTCCAATATTTCTCAACATTGATTAATTTGTTTTCGTCGCATTTTCTCTTCTATTATGAAGTTCCTCATATTTTTAAATTTTGATCTGCACCCTAGTTGAGTTAAGATAATGTTTTTTGGATAGGACCCCAGGTACATTAAACAAGTTCAATAATGTGTTGTTAACTATTCCTAATGGCTGCATCGATCACTTAATAGGAGTACTTCTCCATCCAAGAGTGAAAAATAGAAAGAAAGCAAGACGAAGTATGTCAGGACAGTGAAATAATGCCATGTTAAGATATGGAAAAATTATGCGGTTTATTATTCCCAAATATTTCATCCGAAAACCGCTACGGGAACTATACCGCTTTTGAATTGTGCACCGCTGTGCTGATACATACTATATTCCGGTCTTCTCTAAGTTCCCTCTCTATATTCTTGCATATCGTGTGAAAAGAATCAAAATATGATTCATCATCTTCCAGTTTAAACGAATCAGAGGGCAAATTCTGGCCCCGCAATCACACGGGCGTTAAATATACTCAGAACAGAAATTAAATGTGCATGCAAAGGGTCCTGATTTACATGTGATACGAGTGCCTCTGGGAATTTTTTTTTTTTTACAGAAATCGGACGCGAATAAACATGCACTGCACTTTGATTTTTCCTCATAAAAAAACTCATTAAAAATTCAAACCTGGTATTGGATACACTCCGCAGCAAAAGACTTGATTTTTCCAGCGATGAGCCGCGACCCATATATAGCAAGCCGCTACGTACTGACGGAAATGGACAGGCTGTAATGGCATTTTCGGTTTGGATTGGAGAAGATATTATTGATTTGCTATGATCACAGCTTTGTAATATATCTATGAAAATGATTGTCTACCTCCGTAGATATTTTCTTCAATTCTATCTTCATTCCTGGTTCCTTGAAGCTAAACTGTCTCTTAGAATTGCGAATGAAATTCCTTTTCTTTTTGCTTTGCTCGTTCCCTTGTCAACTCATTTGGAACCATAAATGGATTGATTTTTGCAAAAAGGAACCACTAGCATTGCAATGTTGCTAAGATTGTGCAACTTCTTTTGTCTTGGAGGAAAACCCCGATTATCCCTTAATAGTTTCTATTTTACTCGCTAAAAACTGTAAATGTAAGACAAAAATTACCATCTAAATTTCATAGTTTTTCACGATTTCCGCAATTTTATTGCAAAAGATAAAGTTGCAAAATCTTAACATCATTGCAATGCTAGTGGTTCCTTTTTGCAAAATGCAATCCAAATGTCATTCAGCCAAAACCCATGCAGGGCCGAATTCAGGTTATTCATCCCCCAAAGCAAAATAGCCATTGTGCCCCCTTAAACGCCAAAAACTTGGCTCCTGATTTTTTTTATCTATAGGAAAGAATTTCTGAAGATGTCTTCCGAGAATCTAACTGGGTTATTTGAAAAAGACCGTAACTGTAAAATTTTCAGAAATTGAGTTTTCAACGGAATACTATTGAAGGTGGCGGACGCATCTTACTACCGAGAAATTGCATCCAAAGTGCTCTAAAAACGCCTTTCTTTATAATTTGAAGATCTGCTTCAATGGGAAAAGGGCGTAAGTTCCGAGCCACTTCTCCCAGTGCAGAGCACTTCCTAATGATGGAAACCATGAATCACCATACGAAAAACACGAGATCCTACGCGATCGAATTGTGGTATCTTTGTGAAATGTGGTATCGTGCGTGTGTGTGTCAATACGCACACTCAAAAAATAGCTTTCCACCAAACGGAAAGAGGTTACCTTAACGGCACTCAGTTTGCCTTCAATTTTGAGTGTAGGCAACCCGTGCTCCCACGTGGTCGAATAGTGGTATCACCGTGATTTGACACGCTCATCCGAGAGACACACTAATGCTGCGTTCGGCAGGAAGGAACCAAGCCGCCGTCAGCTGCCAAATTTAATTTGGCGGTTTGATTTTTTTTACAAGAGAACGTTTGTGCGAATTCCTCTGAAAATTATTAGGAATTTCTTTCATACTATGCCGAAAATTTACTGGCACAAAAATTCGCACTACCATTCTCAGGTAAAAAGTAAAATTGCCCAATTAAATTTAGCAATAGCTGGTGTAGCTTGGTTTCTTTTTGCTTAATGCGGTCAAAATAAGAGCTTAAGCCAGGAAACGGTTACTACAACGTCACGTAAGTTTTTCTTCAAATTTTAGTGTACACAGTGGTGAAAAGTGGTATCATCCTCAACATAATGGGTCAGTTTGGTCACAGAATCTGTTTTGATGCTAGATTTTTGTAGATTACCTACAAATAATAACATCTGTCCAAACCTCAACTTTCTACGTTCAATGTTAACCGAGATATCGACCATTAAAAATTTAGGGTTTTGACGTTATCCACCGCGGTAGTGACATCCTTGGTTCCTCCGACCTTGTTTTCATCCAAGTTTCACGTTCTGTTCCTATTGCGTCACTGACTGATGAAAGCAAAGTGGAAGAAACCACGGGTGTCACCACCGCGGTGGATAACGTGACCTGCGGACTGATTATTGAAATTTATAGACAAAGCTATAGACAAAGAAGACATAGGGAGTATGGAGCGATCCTATTGCTTGAAATGGGTGGTTCCTATAGACTGAGGGAGAAAATGATGGACTAACTATCGGGTCTCTCGTGGGGTGCGGTTATAGTTAGTCTATTACTAACCTCCTTCGTCCATTGCAACCCCCCGCTTCCACCAATGGATCCCTCCATATCTCTTTTGTCTTCTTTGTCTATAGCTTTGTCTATTAATTTCAATAATCGGCCTGCAGCGCAACTGACTCATTGTCAGACAGTCAATGTCCGTGAATTTTTTGCAAGCACGATAACATAAAAGGAATAAGAAAAGAGAAAGAGGAAGGAGAAGGAAATAGTGGAGAGAAGAAGAAAAGAAAAGAGGAAATAGACGAGAAAACAGATAGGAGAAAAAGAAAAGAGGATGAGGAATGAAAAAGAGGCACAAATATGATTTTTAAAATCGTCATCGAACACGCATACGATCCGACTGTTATTATTCTACTGAAAATAGCAGTATGCTGAGCAGTTTTGTCGAAAGAGTACGTATCCGCCAAAATTTTAAAAAAATTTATTTCTTGCCTGATGTTTCTGACCCCGTTCATCTGAACGTGGTCTTGGATAGTAGGTATAGGCAGAACAATGGTTAATTTTTCCGAACAGAAATATGAAGAATTATAACGGAAGCATCAGGTTTTTTCATATTTTCTCGAAACCTGAATTTTGGAGGTTACGTTCTTCTTCAAATAACCTGTTCAATTTTGTTTATTATTTTTATTCCCCTCCTCCTTTCTCTATAACACAAAATCCAAAATATAGCGCCCAAAAATGGACCGCGTTAAGTAGAAAGGAACCATAAGCCACATCAGCTGCAGCCAAATTTAACTCAGAGATTTCATTTTTACAAGAGAATGTATGTGCGGATTTCCTTGTAAACCATAAAGAATTTGCTTCGCACTAAGCAGAAAATTCAATGAAATACGCATAAAAATCCGCACAGCCGTTTTCATGTAAAAATTATGCCTATAGTAAAAGTTGGCAAAAGCTGATGTGGCTTGGTTCCTTTCTGCTTTACGCGATCCAAATATCGGGCTTCGCGCGGCTTAGCTGTTTGATTTGCTTGTTCAAAAATCGGGTTATGAATCCGTCCAATGCTTTACCAACATGACTCTGTTTAGCTCTTTCCCTCGATGCTCGAATGTGTGCATGACGCAATTCCAAAAAAAATTGAGGGGGGCCGAGAACAAAAGTTTCAGCCTTGAAGTTTTTGCCAATCCGAGCGTCGCACAATGGATCGAGTCAACAGGGGGGGTCGGACAAAATTGGGAAACTTTAAACGCTTATAACTCCGAAACTTGGAAGTTTTAAAAGTGGTTTCCTCGTGAAGATTTCTTTTTGAAGCACCCCTAAAAATTTAAAATTTGACGGATGAAACATAAAAATTTCATGTCCGGCCCCTCTGAGATTCGATCCGCTGTGCGGAGGAGTGCGCGGTTTTTGCGAGAGGACTCTGGAAAGTTCACCACGTCAAAAGCTGCGATAAAAGCACGCGATTCCAAGAGCTGGAGCCTCTAGGTGCGCAGATTGTATTCTCCGCTTGAGAAGCATGAGTGGTGAATATAAAGTGTCCCTCCTTTTCGGGTTGGTGAGTCATCGTCTTTAAAGTACCTTGGATTTAGATTTTTGAATAACTTGTATTGTGATGTGTTTTTTTCATCTCCGATACCTCGATCGCGTGTGTGTGTGTGTATTTTGCGGGGGATTCAATGTTGTATACGCGCTCAGTTTAAAAGCGGTTTTCTCGACTTTCCTGGGAAAGTGTCGGTTCCATAGAGGAGTTTGAATCAGGCTGATGGCCGATTCCCCTGCGCCAAATTGAGATCAGTCTAAATTGGGGTGACGTCAGACTTAGGTCAATCTGACATCGTTACTTTCCAGTCAAAGAGTCACAAACTCTACGTGGTGTTCGAAAATTTCCGCCGCCATTTTATTTCTTTACAGAGACGAAGCTTTTCGAACGAAAAGCTTCGTTAAATAAAGTAAAGCTAACGAAGCGAAAATTTAATTGAATTTTCCTCGTGCTGCCGATAAAATTTAGTGAAATTTTCAAACAGATCCAACCAACAATGTCTTTGTGAAAATAAAAGTCTTAAGCGTCGCATGGCGCTTGTGATACTTTGGTCGGAAAGGTGACGATCAGACATCAGACCATTTTGTTTCATAAAGCAATCTGATTAAGCATAATTTAGTCTGATGCGCTTTTGGTAGGGTTTAAATGTATTATCAAAAAACCAACTGAACCTATGAATAAATAAAAATACAAAATAAAAATCATTCGCACTATTAACAAGTTACCTTCAAGCAAATTGTACCCGTAATTCAAATGTTGTTCAATTGTTGTTGTTTTTTGTAATTGTCTAAAGTTTCTTAACATTCGTCCTCTTACTTTATAAACTCATCGAAAAACATGACGACGGTGAAACTACCAAACCACGTATCTCGTTTGGGGTGTTTAAAAATCTACGCTCACATTTATTTTTTTTAAAGTAGACCAAATCAATATCTTTCCTTGAAATTTTCACGGAATTTTCTCCGCACAAAGAGGAAAAATCACAGAAATTTTCAAGACTGGATGTTAAGTAGTTTTTCATTTAAAAAATAAAGTATGACAGGAAGTCTGCGACGTCGCAAACCGAGATACGTGGTTTGGTAGTTTCACCGTCGATAAATCACAATATATTTATGTGTGTTCAATTACGCTATACCGTGATGAAATTATCTTATGTAAGAGGGGTTTATTGAAATGAATAATTGAACAATTTATTTTTGGGGGTTTTTGTGATCTATTTAAACGCAAGACATTGAAATGTTGATTTCCAGAGAGCTGCAGTGGAGACAAAATCCAATGCACTCTTTCGTGTTTCATTTTCAATTTTTCTTCTCTTTCCTTCATTTTTCTTGAGAAAGCCGATCGATCGCCGAACCAAGGCCGATTCATCAATGATTTAACCAGAAATCATTGTTCGTGAAAACATGCATATGATTGGGCACTCTCGGATACACTTCTTTTGGGAAAGGAACCAAACCTTATTGATTTCTGAGATTTCGCTCAATTTTTTTGTTTCTTTTATCGCGCTCAAAAATATCCATTGGAAACCAAATTCATGGTTTTTTGACTTGTTTTTTTTAGAGAAATAGAATTGAAAAGAGTGGGAAATTCAAACCACCGCTATAGAAATCGGAATTTTTTTACTTTTGCAATGGCTTCACACTCGAAAAACCTTTTGCGTGAAAGACTCGTCCCTCATATACCAACGTGTCACGCGATGGAGCTGAAATCGAGACTTTACTGACGATTGTAACAACTGTGACGTCATCTGTATAGAGATGCGGTGACAGATCTGTAGGAGAGGCCCTATATGGGCATGAAGAGGAAAAACATGCGTTTTTGCTATGCGTGAGAGCAATACTGCCGTGCCGTATGAGCCTTCAGCCGTTGCTAAATTTCCTCCGATAAAAACCGAAATAACTGATAAAATTGTGAATATTATTTTCTAAAACTTTCAGAAAGTTTTGTACACAATTTAATCTAAACTATCTGAAAATTTTAAGGAAAATGTGCATGAATTTTTCCAAAAACACATGTTATATCTAGGGAAATTTGGCAACTATCGAATGTTCATACGGCGCTTTTCCTTAGCATGGCAGAATAGTCCGCTATTGCCATGGTACTTTTATGTCAAAGAGGCCAAACAGAATTGCCAACAAGTATCTCAAAGAAAGTGGTTAATCATTCAGCACCATGCTAAATCGGCAATTTTTTTAAGCATTACATAGTGCCAATGAGTCAAAAAAGCAATCCGTTCAGTAAAACTACTTCTTCCTGAAATAGTACCCCCAAAATCTAGTATGTCTATGCACGATTGCTGAATTAGCAACATTTTTTTCATTTTTTGGTGAAGATTCATTTTCAAGCTCTGATTTCATTTATAAAATTGACGAGTTCTCTAGTTCTGCTTCCGGTTCTTTTTATGGAAAAACAGCTAGTCTTTCAGGTTCCCTAGTTCTGATACCGGCTCCGTTCATAATGAAACACTCGTGTTACAGTTCTTGGGGTTCTGATTTCTGTCCCTTTCACAGAGAAAATCCTTACCAGATCTCTAGTTTTGGAACATGTAAAAAAACACATCAACCAATTTTCATTTTCTTATTTCAGCACCTCTCGTAAAAAAAAGGTATTACCATTTCTTGGGTTCTGGTTCCGGTTTCGTTTGCAAAAAACGCCGCAATTTCTGAAGTTTCGCAATCGATGTTCCCATCTCTACTGAAAAACTTGTCGTCCTGTTTCAGGTTTTCCTGGCGCTGTGCGTCGCCCCCAGTTTCCAAGAGGAATATGGCGACTACGAGCGAGACGCGGAGGATGAGTGGTCTCTCCAGGCTAAGGACAACATCCTGGAGGACGACGATCAAAGAGCCAAAGCTCAGGAACAGCCGGAGGTAAATCCGGAAAAGCCCCTCGAGGTTCCCGGATCATCCTCGGAGCCGGAGAAATTTGCCGACCCCCCAAAACCAGGCGCCCAGGAACCCAAACCCACCGAAGAGCTATCCAAAACGCCTGAAAAACCTGAAGCCGGGAAGATAGAGAAACCGGAGAAACCTGAGGACGAGAAGAACAAACTGGAGAAACCTGAGGACGAGAAGAATAAACCGGAGAAACCTGAGGACGAGAAGAATAAGCCGGAGAAACCTGAGGACGAGAAGAATAAACCGGAGAAACCTGAGGACGAGAAGAATAAACTGGAGAAACCTGAGGACGAGAAGAATAAACCGGAGAAACCTGAGGACGAGAAAAATAATCCGGAAAATCCTGAGAATGAACTTGAGGACGCAGACAGTGATAATGCAGTTCTACCCCCAGGTTTGTTGGTCCTTGCTGCTATGTTGTTTATGCTCGCTTAAACTTGGAATTCGTCCTACTTTTGACCTTTAATTTTTAATGAATTGGTGAGTTAAGTTTGCCTTCAATTTCGAGTGATACTGTGCCACGCTCATGTGATCGAATAGTTGCTTCGCGTATACGCGCACTGAGTACATAGGTCGCGGTAATTTTCATTGTTTTTCCTTAAATTAAATAAGATAATAGATTAATAAATCTAGATAAATAAAAATACATATAAAATAAATAAAGACACTTGATTATTCCTTAAAGTCCAGCGTGTTTATTCATTGCAGGAATTGGCCTACTGAGTCGGTGCTTAAGTCGAAATTTTTCTCGGGCCCTCGACATATGATTAAATAAGATTCCACAGTAACTCAAGTTAGCTTCGATATTTCCGGACGTTTTTGGTTCAAAAAATTTTGCGGACCATTATATTATGATGTAGAATAAATAACTCAATTTTAAGTTTTCATGGATTATTGTACCTTCTCTCATGCAGACGGTCACATACACATAAAATAGTTTTGCTCTCTCTCCGCAATTACCCCTTTCTCTCTCTGAGCCTGAGTGAAGCGTCTCGACCGGGAAGAGGATGGAGGGTGTATTCTATTTATATGCAACATTTTTTGCTCAAGATGTGACGATTTCAAAACTTTTTACTATCTCTCTGCTACCCCTTTTTTCTTTCTTATTCTGTATGTTTCCTAGTGGCAAATCATTTTAATCCCTCGGAAGGATTTATTTCTAAAATTATATTCTTCGATTTCACTCGAGATTTATAACAATGTTCTCTTTTACGAATTAACATTGAGGATCCCCTTAAATTTTAATTACAATGAAAATTACGTGAGACCCACCTGAGAAAAGGAGCTGCTTAATATGCGAATTTAAATACAGTCACTATTATTACATAAGCTAGGTGTTGTTTAACATAATTTTGTACGAGACCATATACTCGTCGAAAACACAATAAAACGATGAGAGTAAGTTTGCAACCACGCATTTCGGTTTGCGACGTGGCAGACTTCCTGTCATACTTAATTTTTACCTAAATGGAAAACTACACGGCCGGATTTACCTACTTGCCGCCCATGGGCCGCCTGTATTTTGCCGCCCCCTTCTCATTCATTTTGAAATCAATAAAAACCATCAAGTGAACGTGCCGGAAGGGGAGGGAAGGGGTGCATAAGACGCGTTTACTCGTGTTGCACACATTTTTTGCGAAAGCCTTGTCAACACTATTAGTAGAAGTTCACGGAACTTTGCGCGAAAGTTAAGTTCCGTAAACCTATCTCTGTGTGAACAAAGCCTTCCATTTGTAAGAAATAAGCGTGAAAATTATGCAAGAACAAACATAAATGTGGTTTAATAATAATTTTAACCTCCGCCGCGGCGCCGCGCTGACCGCATTGTGTTTGACGCAATGCGTGAAGTGTTCACGAAGTCTGGTAGGCGCTATGTGTTTCACGTCAACCGCTGCGCTGCTGACCGCACTGTATTTGACGCAATGCGTGAAGTATTCATGCAGTCTTGCAGGTGCTAATATGTGTTACATGCCAACCGCCGCGCCGCGCTGAGGACTTCTCCTTTTCATCTCAAGTCCTCATCATCATTGCTCTCTGCGCCGCGTCGCTCCATGCCAAATTGCGTGTTTTCTTGTGTCACCGAAAACCGAAGGACGCTTTACTCGTTTGTACTTTTTTTTCCTGAATCCGATTTTTTTTTATACCTATATTTAAAAAATTGCAAAATTTGCCGCTATGGGTCGTGGTCTATGTGGCCACCTCCTTAATCCGGCCCTGGAAAACTACTCGACGGCAATTCTTGAGAACTGCCGTGATTTTTCTTGTCCATGTGAAGAAAACTCTGCGAATACTTTACGGAATGATGCCAATTTGTTCTCCTTTAAAAAAATAACATAGAGGCGGAGATTTTCAGACACCGCGAACGAGTAATTTGATTGCCGGCTTACACCGTCGATACGTCATTTGCACGGCGTGTGGATCAAGTAAGAGCACTTTCACGCTGTTTTACATCAACCGATGAAATCACAAGGCATGAGGCGCTTTGATGCATCTATTCGTGCTCGAAGGATGTCCGTGTTGCGTAACTAAAAACTGAAGGCGCTTTGGCATCTCTCACATTAACCTCAATATTGTATAATATACAATAACCATCAGGCGTTGCCAAATTTCCTTCAAAAAACAACGAATTTTCAGGAATATTTTTGAATTCTTCTCTTCTAGTTTTTCGGAGGATTTGGTTCAAAATTCGATCTAAAAAGTCTGTGAATTTCAAGGAAATATATTCATGATTTTCTTGAAAAGTGGATATTTTTTGAGAGGAAATTTGGTAACAATCGATTGCTCTTACGGTGATTTCCTTTTCGTGGCAGAATAGATAACAATAATTGCAGCACTAAAGATGGTTTCTGGCTTATCTCGAAAATTGAGGGCGAAATAATAATATGAGAAACCCCTGTACTGCCGTGCTAAGGAAAAACGTCGTATGAACCTTCAAAAGTTGTCATATTTCCTTCGATAAAAAGCGAATTTACTGGGAAAATTTTGACTAGTTTTTTCCAAACTTTTCAGACACGTTCGTACGCAATTTAATCTAAAATATCTAAAAAAATTCAAGGAAAAGCATGCATGATTGTCGTTAAAAATACATGTTTTATCAAGGAAAATCTGGTGACTCTCGAATGTTCATACGGCGCTTTTCCTTAGCACGGCAGCATTACCAACCTTCTCCTCGTGCGATGAGTTTATTCTTTAATAGAGAATTTACAGATGTCTTAACTTTTGTGAATTTCATCTTTAAAACGATACGATTAGGGAAACGGAGTACGAGGATATCCTTGGTTTCTAAATTGAACAATTATTGGAGGAAAAATGGCAAAATAACCTAATCTACTAAAATACATGTGTTTAAATGGAAAATGCTGCCAGAAGACGTCATAAGGTGGCAAATTCTCTCACTTTGAAATCTATTTTTATCCAATTTCCCATGTCGGAAACAGAGGCGGATCCAGCAATTTGGCAACGCCGGTTTCCCTCCTTTTAAACCTACGTTGAATAATCGATTTTTGTCGGAACACCTGGCCCCTCCAAGAATCGATACATTTTCATTGGTTTAAAGTGAGAAAATTCGGCGTTGCCAAGTTGCTGGATCCGCTCCTGGTCGGAAAAAAATTATGAAAAATACTACTAACTCAGCGCATTAGATACTTTTAGATGAAGCAATACAATTTTTGTGTGCAAATTCTCCTTTCTGCAGGTCTTGGTCTGTGTCCTTTCTTGCGAGTTTTGGAGCACATGATGGACGCGCTTGGGCTACTTTGCAGATCCCACAGACAAATGATGATGGGGAATCCAATGATGATGAATTTCCCGCCTATGATGTCGCGCCTCCCAGAGCACCGTAGTACATTGTTTATTTTCGGGCCCATGCCTAGATCCGGACTCACTCGCATAATCATGCCTTTGCCAATGTTATCATCGCCACAGCCCCCTACCCCGCCCGACTACCCCCATCACCGTGTGAAGCGATACTATTGAAACAAAATTAATACTGACTCCCTCAGATCTTACAAATACTCTTCTGGTATTCACGACTCTTGCAATCTTGTTGAATGATGATTATTATTTCAAGTAAATGCTGTTATGATCAATCATTTAATTTTTGGCGCTTGCGTTTGTTCATTCGAATATCCATTTACCGCCGAGTGCAGCAAAAAATTAAAATTGGACGTATTTATGCTGGAAGGAACTATGTGCAAGTGGAGAGATGGGGTGTGCTCGTACATCCTGTACAAGGAACAATGTAAAAGTGGATACAGTTCCATTTGAGAAAATGGAAAAGCGGGATTTTACATTAAACCAAAAGGAACTAAGCGTCATAATTTGCTAACTCATAAGCCGCGCGGCATGTACTAATAGCGTTGTGGACAGGGCTCATCAGTTAAAGAGTCCCGCCACCGATCTCCCCGCCCTGATCGGTCCCGATCGTTGCCGCTGACGTCACTGGCGCTTTTAAATTCCCATTCATTCTTATAGCCCTCAACTAACGAGCACACCCCATCTTTCCACTTGCACTTAGTTTTATTTATCATGAATACGTCCAGTTGGAAGTATTTATGCTAAAAGGAACTATGTGGATGATGTTTACGTGCGACATAGTTCTTTTTAGCACGAATAGCCCAATTTACAATCTAATGCCAAGTTAAGTAAAAAAGCGCTGGTTATAGATCGTTCCTCAGCAACAGTAATTTTATACATTTGAGGTTTTCATCCAATCTACACAAAAACTATTCCAGTGATGTTGATCCTATAATCCTCATTGTTTAAAAAGTAATTCACGACTCCCCGAAATTTCAAGGAGCCACTCGACAACGCACCAATAAATGAATTATATTTTGCAGTAAGGAGCCACTATCTCATGGCTCTTCCATGAAAGCATCTTTCTGGTTAGGAAACAAATATCATATATGTTGTTTTTAAAATAAGCCAGAAATCATGGTTCCTTACGGCGAAATGTAGTCCAAATGTTCAACTCTCAGCTACAACAACAACAACCGCTGTCAGCTATATTCAGCTCCCATTTTCAGCGTGTGAATTTGGTACTCCCAACATAACAACCGTATTTCATGAGAGATGCGATGTAGGTAAATGTCGTAAGCAATTTGTGGGCCAAAATTGAACAAAAAGAAAATCATAAAATTGAGAAAAAGGAGCAAGATTAGTGTGATGGATACTTTACCTTTAATGAAAATAGAGAGTTTTTCCTCCGTATAACATGGTAGTAATAGACATACATCGATGGTGGAAGTGCAGATGTGCGTAACTCGGAAAATACGATTTTCCAGGAGAGTAAAAATATTGCATTTCTCTCTATGTTAGTAGAAGGGTAATAATTTTTGAGGATAGCAAAAATAAGATGTTTTTTCAGACTCCATCAGCATTTTGAATAATTTCTCGAACTGTGAGAAAATGCGGCAGAAATGCCGAGGTTCGCGTTTTCGGCACTAAGAACTGACTCTTCATCACGAGATACGCATTTTTGGAAATAGTGTTTTAAACCTGTTGTCGACGGATTTGGATCATTTAAAGACTGAAAAAAGAGTTCAGCGCCTACAATTCCTTATCAGATAAGATTTAGTTTGATCTCGTAGGTTATGGGACATTTCGTCAACGATTTTTTGTCCGCGCACCCGTTTTTTCCAGTAATTTACGTCCACGCATTTTTTCGGCACGGGAGTTTTGGTCCACGTGTCAGTTGAGCCCCAAAGTTAATTGGCCCACATGTAAATACAAACTATGATTGTTCACGACGTTTTCGGATGAAAATGTAAAATGTCTTGGAAGAATGAGGGTTTGCTTGTTTTTTTGTTTTGTCTGTTTGGTCCAACGGAGAATGATATATGGTTGAGAGTTTCGGTAAAAATGGGGGAGCGTCAATTCCATGAGACAAAATTCACTAAAACTCTCTACACCTCTTTGGTGTAATAGGACTTTATTATCTTTCAAGATTTTCCCACCTTGTCATACCTGAACCGGATAAACCTCTAAATTTGCCTCAGCTAAAGGCTCTTAGATTTTTCCAGTGTACGATAAGTATCTTGATTTATTTTGCGTGGAAAGATCTGTACTTTTAAAGGATGTCTGTCATTCCTAATATGTTTAATTTCGTATAATACTGTGCAACACCTCTGTTGTGAAATAGTTGCTTCAGGCGCCGCCGCACGGCGGCCGGGCGGCCAGCGAAAAACGCGCGTTGGCGCCTACAAACCTAAGTGGATACTTCAAGCATTGCGCAATGCGTGAAGTATCCACTTAGGTTTGTAGGCGCCAGTGAGCCTCTCGCGCTGGCAGCACGCCGCCGCGCGCCGCTCCGCTCTGTTAGGCTTTAATATTTATACTCGCATAGTCAGCGTTTTTTAACTTGTGATTCTGAAATGTTAGCACACTCTGCATTGATTACTCTCATTCAAATTGATGGGGAAAAAATATGTATCAATTTATCAAAGGAGAATAATAATACAGGGTGATTCAAAAGTCCCTTCCACCCCCTCTAACTTTTTACCTAATTGAGATAAAGATTTGAAACTTGGAGGATATTCCTAGGTCAAAGGGAGCTACTTTTTGGCCCCCATAAAATTTTCAGGGGGGCTCCCCTTGGGGGGGGGCTCCCCTTGGGGGGGCAACGGCCCCCAACTTTTAATTTTCAAATGAGAAGACCCCTTTTGTGATAGCTCG